GAATACACTCAGAAGTTTTTCGATTATTTCCTTGGTTGCGGCGTTTTGACCCATTTTGCCAAGAGCTTCACACCCACGCCTTCTGATTGTATCATTCTTATCGTTAAGTGCTGTTAGATGCAACTGAATCAAGTCAAAGTTTGGATTAGAAGTCGGTAAATCAGAAATGAGCGAATATGCGCGCACTTTCATATTAGGATCATTATTCTTGTACAGCTTTACGAATGTGGCAAGTATTGTTTCTTGATTTGCTAAGAAGGGGCTTCTTCGTAATAAGAGTGACAGATAAGGATCGAAATGTTGTGACTTCTCAGATATGAAATAGATGAGCCATTTGATTATTAATTTCAGAGATTCGCGATAGTGTGGAGTGCTTGTCTTACAACCAGCCTCCTCTAGGCAAGAAATGATGATCTGTATACGTCTTAAACCAATGAGATCCAATGGCTCTTCCCACAATGAATTCCAGAATAAGTTCATGCATTGTTCGTCATTGTAGTTTATGAGAAGACCGGACACAAAAGTGAAGGTTAACTCGAAACGTTGATTGTATTTATTGGTTTTGATGAAATCTATTGCTTTTTTCTTTTTATCTGAATCATCTTTGAGAGCCTTTATTAAGTATTGTGCTGCAAAATATTCTTGGAAACTGAGATGAACAAAATAGTGGTCTTTTTTTGCTTCAATCTGTGTGTCGGTTGGCTTATCATTCAAAGATTTGAGTATGCCTATATTGAGTAGTTGCGAATGATCATGTAACGAGCACTCACTCTCCATCTCTGCTTTTTCCAGCAATTTCGATCGTAGAATTATAGAGTTGTCTTCCATTCCATAAAATGCCAAACTCTCTAAAAATGCCAATTCTTTATGGAATTTTACATAGAGTGCCCTTTTTGTAATTTGGATGTTAGTGTTTTTTCTTTCCAAATATCGTCGACATAACAATTCGATAATGTTGTCATATAGTTCTGTCATTGTCAGTGTCTTATTTTGTGTCCAATCAGTATCACCCCAAAGACTACAAATAAGTTCTAAGTTTATCGGAATGTGTGCGACACCCCAAATGCGAGAGTTGGCTTTTAAGAAGTTTAATAGCTTTTGGCCTTCGTACGAGGCATCTTTTAGTTGATCTTTAATCTGATCGAAAAATTGCTCCACGTACTTCGCAATATTATCATTTGTGAATCCTGTTATTTCCATTTTCACATCGTATGGTAGTGTAATTGCATATGGACGAGATGTCAAGATATGATGTGTAGTATTAAGTAGTTGTTTTATTAAATCTTCCAGATGTTTGGGAATGTTTCCAAAGGTTTCGTCGTAGCCATCCAAAAGCCATAAGACTCGATTTTTACTAAGTTGCGGTTTTAAAAGTGTTTTTTCTTCTTCGGATAGATCGTGATAGGGAAAGTATTGTCGTTTCACTATATCAAACGGACAATAGTCGGTGCCCAATGGGTAGCGATCTTCTGTTAAACACCGCAACGGTATTAAAACAACCAATTCGTATTGAGACCAGATTTCGCCTTGTGCCCATCGGTAAGTAACGTAACGAGAAAATGTTGATTTTCCGATTCCAGCTCGTCCAAGTACAAGCACTTTTTTTCTCGTATCCTTGCATTTTTCAAAAATATCCTTGATATCTATTGGATTCTTGATGCCGTAAATCTCTTCGAACGTACCGATGATTGACTCATTTTTTTGAGTCTCACGAAGCTTCTTTTCTTTTTGTTGCTGTTCTTGAGTTTCTAAGATGGCCAAATTAATATAACCTTGCTCGATTGGAAAAGATATTGATGGATTCATCAAACGTTCAATACGGCCATTTCTTTTGTATTGGTGCTTAATTAACTCAAATAGATAGGTTGGTTCATCGATTGGTTTCGGTGGTCGATATTGTGACATGGACGGCTGTTCTCTTATTTGAGCAACTAGTTCTCTGGCTTTCGAATGGATGTTTGACTCGGATATATCATAAAAATCCACATACTCAAGTTCTCTAGTTATCAGTTCCAACCATACAGAAGGTTTCCAGACCTTTTTATCACTAAGTATACATGGAACGATTCGTTTGTTTCGCTTTCGAGCATATTGCAGCTCGAGCTTGCAGTTCTCAGATTTTTCATAATCTGACGAGATGAAGCAACAGATGACTGCCGCATTTTCTACTCCATTGGCAAGGCTACACAAAAGAACAGCGCATGTACATTATAGAAAAAAAGAATAATCACTTTCATAAACATACCTTTCATACATATCTTCCTTGATATCACCGTTTCCGTCGAACCAAACTGAAATATTTTCTTCTCTAAGAATTTCATTGATTTTAGATACAGTATCTTGACTTTTGCAATTATAAGACAGCATGACATGTTTCCCTGAGGGAATCGGAGGACTAAAAGATATGAATTAGACATTAATTAATATGCAGAGGATAAAATGAATGGGAACATAAAAAGCCACTTTTGTGGATGAAACATCGCATATAAAATTCGCCTTGTGTAAAACTGAATCAAAAAAGGTAAATAGCCTATGTGTTCATAAACTCGCATCGAACTCGTGTAAAACAATTTTCAACACCTTTTGAATGATTACTGGCTTATATGTGAATAGAAATAACTTTGGCATAGAACTGGAGTCTTTTTTTCATGTATCTATCAAACATAATACAGAAAATTGATAACAATCAGTGTAGTTGAACGTTGATTATGGCTTTTTTGCATGCTTGGAAAAGCTATTTTGCCGGCTTTCCGACTAATACATATGTGCATGTAAATATCGCAATGTTTTGGATTGATCAAGACCGGCTATATTTCAAAAACAGTCGAACATATTTCAGTACTTTTCATATAACAGTCTTGACGATTGATATCAGAGTTTTGATGACGTGCCTTTGCCGTTTTCTACGTTATTTGACTACTTTATTGCATAAGCACTATATTAAAGTATCACTTGCCAGATATGTATTGAAATGAAATGTATAAAGCAGTTATGTTTTACACTACAAACTTCGTTTTCAGTCAGCTTTCTTTTTTGATTATGACGTTTTCAAATAAATAATTTTAACATTCTTTTTTTATAAGGACTAAGGACTTTGGAAATTATTTCCAGTAAGAAACGAGTAGGTCAATATAAACTGCTACTTTTCAACAAAGCGCATACTTCGACAATAGATCGCAGTTAAACTCTGATACCATTACATTGAGAAATTTGAAATCTTGGTTCTTTTTTCGGAACTACATAGTAATTTTTGTGGCATTATTAATAGTTGACATGATAGCATTTTTTGTGCTAAATCATGAAGCTACAATATGAACAGCAATGGTATCCTACTCGATTTATGATGGGTTAACATTCCTTGATCTGAACAGAGAAGTGGCACTATTGTAGTTGCCTAATCATTTTCTATTCATTTTCTGTGATGTCAGCGAATAAGTTTGTCGGCGGTGCTGGAGACAGGTTCTCTAACACTCGACGGCGGTAAAATTTTTTCGAGATACATTAGTCAATATTTCTAATAATTGCAATATGGTGCAAAATAGTTAAGCAATGACTTGATCTCATGTAAGTACCTGAGAAGTATTTAATGTGCTGTCAGACTCCAGGAGGTAGTGACATAAGAGAACTATAAGAGATTTTTTGACCACAAAAATACTTTATGCGAGACAGAGACGACGTCGGTGAAAACTGGCAACTAACATCTATGTTACATCTTCGGCAAGAAAGAGAGTCACACAATCATATCATCAGCTTTCAAAATGCAACTTATTATGCACAATGTTTTGACATATGCTATTCAGTGAGCTTCGCGAACTAAAGATTAATAGCATCTCTATTGTGCTCCGGAGAAGGCTTTTTTTCAAGTGACTACTTTATCACTACTGTTATTTCTGAAAGTGATGTAATTGCCAAAAGATGTTTTCCGATGAGTTATACTCAATGGAACTCTTAAACAGTGAAGCAAAATAACTTAAGATAGTGCTGAGAAAAACATATTGGGATTCATGCCATAGGTTTGTGACTGCTGAATACATTCGAGACAAAAATTTTGTATAGCATATGTTACTTGCTCCTATGATGCATATAGTGTCCATCGAAGAACTCTAATTTTTTTCCCACTAAATTCAAGTATAATCAAGTCCAACCATAGTCGAAATGTTTGGATTCTAATCAAGATGGTTTAGTGTGTCTCTACACAAACTTATGGACTACAGTGTTCTTGGCTGTGGGTGTGGGTGTGAGTGTGGATGGGTGTGAGTGTGGATGGCTGTGGGAGTGGGTGTGGGTGTGTGGGTGGTGTGCTCGACATTGAAAGGCTAACACCCACACCCATACCCACAGCCACAGCCACAGCCACAGCCACAGCCACACTCACACCCACACCCATACACACAGCCACAGCCACAGCCACAGCCATATTCACAGCCACAGCCACACTCACACCCACACCCATACACACAGCCACAGCCACAGCCACACCCCACACCCACATCTACCCGACGCCCCACACCCACACCTACCCCACGCCCCACACCCACACCCTTCTCGCTTTTGAATGCTAACAAAAGTGGCTTCTTATATCCCTACATAAAGTCATAGACAACAATGTTCAGAGAATTTCATGAGTTGCACGTTAACTTGTTAGGCTTCATAGGATATCTCACATGTGACTTACCATTCATCCAAATGAACAATGAAGAAGCCAAAGACATCCGATTCAATGGATTTGACGCGCAAGCAGGTTCCAGGCATAAGAATGATTTCTTCCTCATCCTGTCTCACTGCGTACTTAGTAATATCTTTGGCATGAATCGTATTAATGCAAAACAGAGTGCCTTTCTCGCCTGCAAACATACCAGCGACATTGAGTTTCGACGAACATGAATTCATACTCCACCAAGTGTACACATGATCTTTAACGAAATCTGAGCCAATATTGCCACCAACGCCACGCCACACCGTAATCGAATGCGATGGTAATTTTTCAACAGCGGTAAAGAACAGTGTCAAGAAGGGAAACCATGGCCCTAATGCATGCGGATTTTCAGCTCGAAGCGTCTTGTTCAGATTTTCGTAGAAAGGTGTAACCATTGTGTAAAGATAGATTGCTGCCGATTCATTTATTGTTAGTTGAGTATTTTGTCTACAGTGGTTTTTAGCTGTAGCAGCATAATCCATGACGTAAGGTACGAATTGAACGATGCCTTTTACAGCTTCGTCTAATGACATAACGGGTCGATCTTTGTAACCGAATATTGGATTGCGGTTCATTTGTTGAAGCTCAGAGACATCACTGTTTACAAAGCGATTGTTCTTTATGCACGTCATTTGTTGTGCCATTTGATTCCTAACTTTCTATTATAAACAGAGTTAGTAAAGCACAATATAAGCTATATATTTAATCAGAAATCCTCAACCTCTTGTGTATAGTCCAATAAATCATCGATGAATATAAATGAGCTTCCTTAGATATCATGACACTATCCTTAAAGTGCACTTTTTATTAACTACTTTTCACCTACTTTCTCAACATAGTTTTAGAACTCATCACAGGCTGGGTGTAGGTGTGGTGGTGATGTGGGTGGGTGTGGGTGTGGGTGTGGGTGTGGATGCGGGTGTAGGTGTGGGTGTGGGTGTGGGTGTGGGTGTGCGTGTGGGTGTGGGTGT